CTCCTGGAGGAGCTGATGAAGGACGAGAAGGACTGGGTGCATGGAGCACAGGGAGCAGGGAAGCCGGCAGGAGATGATCTGCAGCTAAAGGAGCAGGAGCAGTGCTCTGGAGGAAGGAAAAGCCCCGGTTCTTGTAGTACGTTGGACCAAAGCGAAGGGGAAGATGCAAGCAGAGGGAGCTCTCAGCTCAGCGGTGAGTGTCTGAAAGAATGGAGCCTTGCTATGATGGGTGCCAAACACCGATCGTCCCTTGGCCAGGGCCACCTGTACTTGCACATGGTCCTGGTTTCTTCCTGTGAGGGGCTCGGGAGAAGTGGAGAGCAGAGGAACAGGAGCTGACCCGCTCCTTAGAGATTTTCCTGTGTAGAGGGCACAGTGCAGTCTGGAAAGGTGTCAGGGAGGTGGTTGTAAGGGTGCCTTGCTGATCTGGTCTTTACTTTTGCACTTTCTCTTTCCCCTCTTGCAACTCCAGTGGATGAATTTGCAGCAGCTCCTAACACCAAAGCAGAAGGTGAGTGGGGGGGGTTCTCCCAGCGGGACTGGCTGTGGCTTCAGAGGTGGTGCTGTGCCCCATGGCGGGGGACAGTCCATAGCAGTGGGGCAATTTCTGACCCACGTCTGTCTCTCCCTGACCAGACGATGACGCCTGGGATCTGATCACCTGCTTCTGCCTGAAGCCCTTCGCAGGGAGGCCCATGATTGAATGTAACGAGTGTGCTACCTGGATCCACCTCTCTTGTGCCAAGATCCGCAAATCCAACGTGCCTGAGATTTTCATCTGCCAGCGGTGTCGTGATGCCAAGCAGGAGATTCGTCGCTCCAACAGAGCGCGGACGGTGCCCCGCAAGCGCTTCTGTGACTGAGCAGGGGTCTGGGGGGGCCCTCTTTACACCTCAGGCTGTAGCCCAGTCTGGCTAGACAATCAATGCAGTAACGGCAGGGGAAGGGCTGGGCTGTGGTGCTGGGCTGTCCCCCTTGCTCCTCGTCTCCTGGAAGCTGCCATGCGTCCTCCCTGGGCGTCGTGTTGACCACGGAGCTCGATTGTCCCAGAGGTGTTGGGGGAGAGGAGCCGTGCGTTGGGTCACTCAGAAACATCTCTGTCCTTGCACAAACCCGGCTCAGTGCCTTCCCCCCAGGCCAGCTGAGGAGAATCTAGTCCAAATAGTTTCTATGTGGTGTGGTGGAAGCTTACACTTATTCCAAGATGTGACTCCCATCCTCCTTTATCCTTACCGTTGTCCTTTCCTGAGACCTTCAGGTGGGCTGCGATGGCAAAGCCCCAGTGACTCAAGTTATCTTCCAGGATGTAGATACAACCTAGGGAAGCTTCCTCTGTGTAGTGTGCTGCTCTCTAGGATGAGAGGAAGGAATGAATATTGGCCTTGCCCACCCCTGGAGCAGACCAGGCTGCTCCTTGTTGGGCATCAGGTGTCCATCTCCCCATAGGCTGCACGGGGGAGGCCCTGTCCCTGTCATGTGGTGCTCCTGGTTTCAGCTGCTGTGCCTGAGACCTCAGGGTAGTCCTGTTGGGTGAAGAACAGCGTGCAGCAAGGGCATCCTATGGTAGATTGTTAGAAGAATTGTTCTTTGAGTCCTCTTGGTTCAGATACTCCGGTTGCACTAAAGTCTCTTGTCTGAAAAAGATGTGAGGTTGGTGGTAGGAAACCCAGCTACCCTGAGTGAGTAGGGTGTGGAATAAGCAGTGGGAAGCATTCTGGTTGGTTTTCTGTGTTCCTTGTTTCAAACAATTGAACCTTGAACCCTGCAGCCATCTCCTGCCTGCAGGTGGAGCATCTGTGATGCTGAGACCTGAGCTCGGACAGAGCTGGGTGCTGGGAGGGCTTTGCTTCTAAGTGTGCCCTCCAGCAGAGAAATTGTTTTGTTGGTTGTTTTTTTTTTTTTGTATTTTTTTTTCTTGATATGTAGAGTGAAGTTTGATGTCAGGAAAGGGCCGTAAGCCCTTTCTCCTATGCAACTGCTGCTCTGGAGGTACCGGACCTACCTTTCAGTTCAAAATGGAAGGCTTTTCCCCGTTGCCCTTGGTTGTGAGCAGTGTGTGCGCTCTGGGGCTCCATGTGCACTGACTGTCCAAATCCCACTTCACTGCCCCTCCAAAGAGCCTGGCCTGGTGCCTTCTGCACTTTCTGGGTAGGGAACACAGATCCTGCTGCTGTCCTGGTGCCACCTGGCCCGGCCCTGGCACACTGCTGCTGGAGCAGGGTGTGGGACAGCCCCAACTCACCCATCCCATCACTGGTTCTCTTAGCTGGGTTCTCTCCTACTTGCACATCTGGTTACTATGGGACCACAGCTGGGGGAAGTGGGGGGCACCCCCCCACCACCCAGCAATCCCAGGCTCATCCCTGTGCCTCTCCTGTGGAAAGCCTGGGCCCCAAAAGTGCTTTATGTTTTTTATAGTTACTTTGTATTGATATGTAAAATAGCAAATTCTGGTCCTTGCCCTGTGGAGTGTGGCTGGAGTCCTATGTACATAATAAAGTACTTTTGCCATAACGGTGGTGGCTTTGGCCTGTTTCTCCCTTTCTTCCCAGGTGGGAGCTGGCCGACCTGCTGAGCATCTCTGCGTGCAAACCCCCCAACACAGAACCCCCCACCCAGGTACCCCCCAGGCTGCACACACAACAGCCAAGGAGTAGTTCATCAGATGTTTTATTTGACAGTGAATCACGCAGCAAAGGGACGATGCCCACCTCCCTGCTGCACTGCAGTGTTGCAGGAACCTGGAGCCTCACCTCCTAGGCGGGCAGCATCTGCCCTGTGCTGCTCTGCTGTTCCTGAGCATGGTGGGAGGGCTCAGGAGGAGGGCTGTCCCCACACTCTGCTGCAGCTGCTAAGGCACATCATGGTTTTGCTCCAAAGTTATGTTTTGCTCTTGGGTTCAGATAAATCTGTCCTGATCAGTTTCTGCTCAAGTAGAATTGAAGTTTAGTCCTGCCAAGTGTTTCGGTGCTGAAGGATCCAGTTTTTTCCCAGAGTTCCAGTGCAGATGGATGTGACGTGCTGGCTTCCATCATACAGTGCTAAGGGTTCGGACTGGGGGGCAGCAAGGAGCACGGGGCGGCAGCAGGGCTGAGTGCTGGGCTGGCTCCAGGACATTTCTCCCTCATCGGGCAGAACAAAATCATTCCTTGCAGGGCCCTGCTGGTGTGACTTCTTTCATCCTGATCGGGGCAGAAGCCGCGAATGGAACAGGAACAGCAGAAAATTCAGGTGCAGCTAAGCTAGGGGCTCGTTAGCAGGGTTGGTGTGGCCAACCCAAAGCCAAGTGAGCATCCAGGAGAGCACCAAGCGGGCTCTACTCCTCCTTGGCCCACACTGAGCTGCCGGCCTGCTGCTCCAGGTGGGGAATGACTGCCTCGGTGTAGAACTTCTCCAGCTTGGGCACCGTCTCTCCCCAGAACTTGGCATCGAACTCCACGGGTGCCATGGCCGTCTCCTTGTTGGTGTGCACCACGAAGTCGGCGTGCTGCAAGCCGGCGGCCGCCAGCTGGCACTGCATCTGGGTGAAGTAGGCGTGATCCCGCTTCAGCGCGTACGAATCCCCGTTCAGCTCCAGGCAGAAGTCCTTGTCCTTGCAGGCCTCCCGCACCGTCCTGTTGCGGTGCTTGTAGGGACACTTCACCTCCAGCAGCCCCAGCCGCTTCCCCGTGTCGGCCTCGGTGACGACGCCGTCGGGGCTGGCGGCGATCCACGTCTTCTCCTTGTGGATGAACAGCCCACACTCGTCCACCCGCACGGGCCGGCCCATCTCCTGCGACTTGAGCCGCTCGTAGGCCCGCACGGCCTCCTTCTCGTTGCGGATACCCCACGACATGGCCGGCGTTTGCACCGAGGGACCGGCGCTCAGCACCGCCTTCAGGTAGGACTGAGGCACCTCGTCCGTCTTCCCGTTGGCAAACCTGCTGCGGGCGATGCGCGGGGCCAGCGAGGCCGTGATGCGGTTCTCCCGCCACGCGTACCATTGCGGGTTGGTGCGTTGGCCGCGCGTCTGCTCCTCCACCCAGGGGATGTCGGGGCTCTGCAGGGCGGGCGGACAGCGCGGCGAGGCCCCGGACGGGCCGGCCTTGGCCTTGGCGTCGGCCTTGGCGTCGGCCCTGGCGTCGGCCTTGGCGCTGTCCTGGGCCGGAGCTGCTTTGGTTCCTCCAGGCAGGCGCGGGCCGGCGCTGCCCTCGGCCGGGCTGGGCGCCGCTTTGGTTCCCGCTGCCTTCTTCTGGCTCCCGGCGGCGGCCGCGCGCCGCTCCCCGCCGTCGCCCCGAGCACCGCGGGATGACGCCGCCGGTCGAGGCCCATCCCCGCCGGCTTTCGCCTCTCGGCCTCGCCCCGCGGTCGGAGCGCTCCGTGCCGCCCGGCTGCCCGTGGCGGACGGCGGCGGTGCGGCGGGCGGCGCTTTGGAGGTCGCGGGCTGCGGGGACGAGGGGCCGGCCGGCTCCTTCCTGGGCCTCCCCATGGCGAGAGGAAAACGATAGGAGCGATCCCCGCGAGCTCGCTTCCTCTTCCCCCGCCCCGCGCCGCCACGAGCCCGCGCTCGCCTCGCCCCGACGGGGCCGCGCTTCCCGGCAGCGCCCGCCCCCGCACCGTCCCCGTCCCGCCGGACTGCCCGCTAGGGGGCAGCACCGCGCCGCCGCGCCCCGCGCTGCCCGTGTCTCGCGGCGCCGCGCCCCGAGCCCCGCGCCGCGTTAGGGCAGCTCCGCTCCCAGCCTTGCGGCACGGTTGCCGGGCGGCCGCGGCGCTGCCGGAGGGAAGCGGTGACCGCGCAGAGCCGCGGGCGGATGTGCTGCGGCCGGTCGGGAGGCAGCGCCGCAGCGCCGCGCGTCCGCCGAGCCGCGCAGGCGGTGCCCGGCTCCGGGCGGAGGTCCCGCAGTGTCTGCGGACCGCTCGGCTCCGCTCGGCGCTCGGTGCGGAGTTGGCGGAGCGCGGCAGGACGGCGGCGGTGCCTCCCCCGTGCGTGCTCTAAAAAAAGTGCAGCGGCAGCGCGGCCCTATCTATAGCGCGGGGAGGGAGCTGCCTAGATTAGCCCTGCATCTGCTGGGCTTTTGCCCGGCCGTGCTCAGGCTGAGGGATTCCCGGGCCGGGCTCGCCGGGATCTCCCTCCCAGCGGAGCCGTTCCAGCTGTGCCGCCGTTCGCTGCCCGCCTGCCCCCTCCGCGGCCACGCGCTTCGCCCGAAGGCTCAGCTCCCCCCAATCCCCCTTGCTTTCTCCTGCCCTTCTTCAGGGCTTTCCCCGTACGCCGGGCTGCAGTGGGTCCCACGGAGGGTGGGTTTGGGGCGGATGCTCGGCGTCACCGCAGCCTGACCTCCGCCCTGGGGCTGCCGTAGCAGGGGCCGTGTCCCTTTAACGAGGCAGGGCTTGAAGCTTGTGCCGCTGGCACAGGGATGGAGCGGCGGTGAAGAGCCGGTGCCAGAGCGGCTGCCTGCAACGGGAGGGGCGGTGGCATCCGTGAGCGCAGACCCCGACCAGAGCAGAGGGAATCGCTCCGGTCAGAAGCTTGGTGCGGCTCTTGTCGGTGCTGAGCCCCCAATCCCTGTGTCATCGTCCTCCAGGTAAGGCCCGGGGGGGTTGGGTTGCGGTGCCCTAGGTTTGTGTGATCGTGAGGTGAGGTGGTGAGCCGTGCAAGTGCTGAGATCACCGCCCCAGCGGGACCTGCACTGCTGGTAACTGCCCCAGGGCATCAGTCCTTGGGCTGTGCCAAAAATGACCGCTGGCCACCGGTGGGACCCTTTGTCAGAGCTGCTTGCTAGGATTGTTCCCATGCTGAGAGAGATCCATGGGGTTGGGATGCTTTTATTTTTGGGGTTGCACTGAGGGGAAGTTCCCTGGCATGGGGCTGTGGTTTTCTAGGGGTTTAGTGGGAGGGAGTGTGAGGCAGAGCTGGAGGGAGCTCTGAGCTGAGCCAGCTGCAGTGTGCTCGGTTTGGGGCTGTGATGGGGCACCATCTCTGTGGGGCTGCCATTTCCCGTGCCCAGACTGAGCTCTTCTAGGTGCAGTTCTGACAACTTTACAGCTGCTCATAGCAGGGAGAGTGAGGAGGGGGCTGCAAAGTGCTGGAGGTGGGGAGGGGTACTGGTGGTGATTCTGCACTGGGCACCATTTGCTGTTCTGGAGGCTGAGGTCGTGGTGAGGAGCAGCTCTGCTTTTATTCATCACCTCGGGGCTTAGAGCAACACACGGGGCCAGATGGGCCCTGTTTACCCTGCGAGTGTAAATGCAAAGAGAAGTGATAAAAAGCAGCTGGAACAGCTTCTGCTGGCAGTCCTGGTAAACAAGGCTGCGTGGCAAGGCAAATAGCGGGCACGTTGCTGAGCACTGAGCCAGGCTCCTTGGGAACTGATGGGAGAGCTTCGGGGTGAGCCCATCCCTGATGGCTCCAGGCAATGGAGCTGGGGCTGTCCCTGTCTGAGTGCTGCTCCCACTGCTGACCCAGAATGAGTGCTTCCCTCTTCCCGTGTTGGGGTTAGAATGGAGTTACTGTGAGGGGTAGGGTTACGGTAAGGATTTGTGTTGGGGTTAGGGTTAAGTTTAGCTTTAGGATGTAGTCAGGCTTAAGGTTAGAGTTAGGATTAGTCTTAGGGTTAGGATAGGGTTAGGGTCAGTTATAGGGTTAGGGATAGCCACATGCGTGCATCCCTCTGCTTCCCCCTCCCCTCTGTGCTTCCCATCAGTGCAGCACTGACCTTGTTGTTAATTATTAAACCCCCAGCAAACACCGCACTCTGTTGTGTCCTAGTTACGCCGTGGGCTTCTTGTGCATCTTTTTTCTTTTTTTTCCCCAAGCAAATTACCCTGGTAACCTCTGTGGGTGGATGGAGATAGGAGTGGCAGATGCTCCTCTCCCCGCCAGCACAGGCGATGGGCTGCAGAGGCTCTGGGGCTGCCGAGCTGCTTTGTGTGGCCAGGAGACAGGGATGTGTGGCCGTCTGTTTCTGGCCATGTGGGCTCTCATGGCTCCACAGGGCTGAGGTTTGGCTCCAGAGCAGAGATTTGGGTTCAGGTCTGTGTGTGTCCCTTTGTTGGTGTGCGTGAGCCCCTTCTCTACAGACCCCCTCCCAGCATCTCATCCTGCAGCCGTGCTGAGGGACCAAGGGACCATGCCAGGTCTGTACGTGCTCTCCTCCTGGGAGGCTCTGCCCCTGAAGAGCTCCAGGGTGAAGGCATGCGCCAATGGGTACGTGCTGAGCATCACTGCCCAGCTCCTGTACACCAACCCACGTGAAGAGCCCGTGGAAGGTAAGGACGGTTACTGGGGTGCAGGGACCATATAGACACCATGCTGGGGTATCCCGTTCCAGCCCCATTGCCATTCTGGACTCTGCCTCTGGACTCTCTCCCACCTGCAGGTGTCTTCATTTACCCGCTGGAGGAGTCAGAGCTGGTGGCTGGCTTTGAGGCAGTGGTGGGCAGCCGGCGGGTCACCTTCCAGGTGCAGAGCCGGCACCGGGCGCAGGATTGCTGCCTGCAGTGCGGCAGCAGCCCAGGGCGGCCGCGCCGCTGTGCCAGCGGTGAGTGCATGGGGCAAAGCACAGTGGCACGAGGGGCTGACCAAATCCCTTTGCTGCTCCGGGAGAGCTGGAGGGATGCTCCTCTTTCTTATTTCTGCTTTCCCTAATGACTCCCCAACTTTCTGCCATTTCAGCCCCATCCTCTTCCTATCTGTCCAGCTTTTCCATCCCTTTGTGCTCCCCTCTGTTGTCCCCTTGGTGAGTAATTAGTTCAATTACAGATGCCCACGTGTGGTCCCTCCCCTCGCCCAGGTCACCTCGTCCTGGATGAGGACACCGAGCGTTCCACCTTCGTCATCATCACAGGCTTAGTGGGGCCGGCGGAGAGCCTGGCCGTGACCCTAAACACAGTGCAGGAACTGCCCACGCTGCCGGGGGGGGCCCTGCGCCTCGTCCTGCCCCCCGTCCTTGTGCCACGTGTCGCCACCGCCCCCGAGCGTGAGAGCGAGCCGGGAAGCTTGTGTGACGACAGGTTGGCCCTATGGTGATTTTCACGGCTTTCTGAGTCTCTGCCGTCCTGGGGTTGGGGGGAGATGCTGGGTTTGCAGGGGAGGTGTGAGAGCTGCCCTCACCCCATTCCCCTTGCAGCCCCACCAGCTGTTTTGGGGGACCTGGGGCAAGGAGCCAGCCTGCACCCGCAGCACCTGTGGAGAGCACAGATGTCTTCAGGGGACAGCCCTACAACCCCTTTCCTTACGAGTTTGCTTTTGAGCTGCTGGTGAAGGGCCCGTGCCTGCTGGCAGGTAGGGCTGGGGGCTCCTAGAATTGCTCTGCATGTGGCATTACCACTGTTTGAGCAGCACCGCCGGGCTCTGAGTCAGCAGCCTGCATCCTCGGAGGGGGTGTGATGGATGGAGGCTGCAGGGGCACGTCAGGCAGCCAGGGTGCTGCTGGCTGCCATCAGCACGAATCCCATCAGTGCTGGCTGGTGGCTTCCTCGGGACCAGGTCCAAGTGGGTCTGTGCCCCCTCCAGGCCTGGAGAGCCCAACCCACGCGCTGCGTGCCGATGCCGACCCCTGGGCCAGCTCTGCCACCACCACCTGCGTCACCCTGGCCGAGCATCACCACTATGACAGGAACGTGGAGATCATCCTCTACCCCTGTGGTAAGGGCTGCGGGTGCGGCAGGTCCAGGGGTGGTGGGTGGGCTTGCCCCCAAAGCGTGGGGCAAATGTGAACACTTGCAGAGCCCCACCAGCCCCACCTGGTGATGGAGGAAGGCACCATGACGTACCCAGAGTATGAGGCACACATCCGGAGCCGCCGGGACTACGTGCGGATAGCCAGGAGGGACGGCAGTGGGGAGAGACAGGTGAGCGGGCATGGCTGTGGCTGGGAGGAAGAAAAGGGTGGTGATGGTGGTGGTGGTGAGGAAGGCCCTGGCGTGGGTTGCATTGTGAGGCTGAGGGATGCGAGGAAGCCCCCCACCCCTTGCAGGTGGCTTTTGTGCAGAAGCGTTTCCACAAGGACATCTTCCACAACCCTGTGCTGATGCTCAACTTCTGCCCGGAGGTGGAGGCCACCCCAGGGGCCCTGCAGAGTGTCACCCGCGAGGTCCTCTTCCTCATAGATCGCAGTGGAGCCGTGAGCGGCCCTGATGTTGACAGGGTCAAGGTGAGGCAGGGCGGTGAGCACAGGGACCCCGCACCGAGCTGGGAGTCCTGATGGCTGTCCCCATCCCTAGGAAGCGCTGCTGGTGGCCCTGAAGAGCCTCCCCCCAGGAACTCTGCTCAACATGGCAACCTTCGGCACCAACCTGCAGCCTCTCTTCCCCTCCAGCCGCCTCTGCAGCAATGTGAGTGCTGTGGGGGACCCCCTACCCCCTCCATCCTCCCCACCCGCTCCTGCTGCGGATGGCTGCCCGGTGCCGTCCCCACGAGCTGGCTGTCCTGGCTGGCAGGAGACGCTGCAGAGGGCCTGCTGCTACCTGGGTGAGCTGCGGGTGGCTGCGGGCAGCCCTGACCTCCTGGCAGCGCTGAGTTGGGCGCTGGCACAGCCCCTGCACCATGGGTACCCCCGGCAGCTCTTCCTGTTCACCGCGGCAGCGGCAGTGGGTGACATGGGCCGCATCCTGCAGCTGGTGCGCAGGCAGGCCAGCACCGTCAGGTACGACGTCAGGCATGGAATCCAGAAGCTTGTCCCTGAAATCAGAGGTGTTTTAGTGCACGGGTCCCTCCTGCAGGTGCTTTAGCTTTGGGATGGGCCCGCGGGCATGCCGGCGACTGCTGACAGCCATAGCCAAGCTGAGCCGTGGCCGCGCTGAGTTCCTGGACCTGTCTGAGAGGCTGCAGCCTAAGGTAACGGTGGGGTGGAGGGCACGTAGGTTAAGGTGGGGCTGGACACCAGCTTGTGTCCCTGCCCCAGCTCATCAAGGCCCTGAAGAAGGCGATGGAGCCGGCCGTCAGCGACATCACCATCGACTGGTACGTGCCTGACAGCACTGAGGCTCTGCTCTCCCCCACTGAGATCGCAGCGCTCTACCCCGGGGACCGGCTCATCAGCTACTGCACCCTGTACAGCATCGCCCGGTTCCGGGACCAGCGCCCTGCGGTGAGGCTGGGGGAATACTGCCATTGTGGATCCTCATGACCACCTTTGTGGCCCCCTCCAGTGCTGCCACAGGGGCTGACACTCTCTCTGCAGGGCCGGGATGCGGCTCGCCGGGGCTCAGCTGTCCCATTGCAGGTGGAGGTGCCCACCCCAGGGGGCACACGGCTGTCCCGAAGCTCCAGAGAGACCTCCGTGGAGATCTCAGCCATTGGCACAGAGGAGTCGGAGCGCAGTGAGTAGAATGGGCATGGAGAGGAGCTGAGAGGTGGCACAGGGGCTGTAAGCTGACAGCTGTGTGCTCGCCCTGCAGGTGCTGACCTCACTTCAGGGGGAGACATCTGGAAGCGTATTTACCAGCCCTCCTACATCCAGGAGCAGTACGTCCTGACGCACTGCTCGGTCAGCACGGAGCGCAGCCAGGGACTGCTGTCCCGCAGCTCCACCAGCAGTGAGTCCACTGGTTCCCGTGATGTGGCCCCTGACAGCAGCTCTGCAGCCCCTGACACTACCTCCCAGCAAGGCCAGAAGAGCCTGTCCCTCTGTGAGTCCTCCACCAAATCTGCCCCACTGCCCTCGGCTCCTGCTGCCATCAAGGTAAGGAACGCACCGGGGCTTCTCCCTATCTGTCTGGGGCCTTGTCACACCACTGAGCCTGGATGTGGGGATGTTAGGTTGGAAGCTGGAGGGCCATGGCCTGCATTTAGCCAGGGTCAGCTCTGGATGTTGACAGCAAGCTCCTCAGATGGGTTTGTCTTGCTGGAACTAGAGAGCTGGGGACTAAAGAGCCAGTCCCCGCCCAGGTGCCAGTACCCCTAGGCCAGTAGGCAACGGTGTGGCTAAGGAAAGCCTCAGCCAGCTCACGTCCTCACTGATGCTGCAGAAATGAAGTGGAAACCATGTGGCCGTCAGGCAGTGAACCTGCCAAGGCAGGGAGGGGGTGGTCTGGCTCCTGCCCGCCTGTCACAGCCCTCTGCCAAAGCCGCAGAATGCTCTGTTAGCGATGGATTTGTCCCTGCTGCTTTGTGTCTGGGTTTGGATCCAGCCTGGTCGCTGTGCCAGGGGAGGCTGCTCCCTGCTAAGCACAGTGCCGCGTCCCTGAGGCCAGGTGAGGCCAGCTGTCACCCAGCCCAGCACTGCCTGTTGCTCCCTCCCGACGCGTTAGGTAACCCGCTGCACAATAGCACACACAGCTGGTGGCCTTTGCAGCTGAAATGTCAAGCGTAAGTGATTTCCCCAGTGTAAACCATCCCTGCGCTCCTGCTGCTAACTGTGGGTGCTGCAGCTGTGTCCCAGTGTGGGGTTTTCAGCACCCACCTGTCTGGAGCAGCTGAGCTCAGCCCCCACAAATGCAAACATCACCAAAAACACATAGAATCATTGAACCGTTTGAGTTGGAAGGGCCCCTTAAAGGCCATCTGGTCCCTGCACTGAACAGGGACACCCACAGCTCCATCAGGTGCTCAGAGCTCCATCCAGCCTGACCTTGGGTGTCTCCAAGGACGGGGCATCCCTCCTGTCTCCACGTCAGCCCTAGACAGATGTTTGCAAACTCACGTCTCGGTGCTGTCATTCCTTCCCATGTGCGCTGAGCACTGCATGAGCACAGCTTGCTGCGAGGGAGGTGATGGATTTTGGGTGCCAGCTCACACTGCAGCAGGGCAGGGTGCCAGATAGGGCTGCGGGGGTTGAGTGTTGGCAGAGCTCGACCTGCACTCCGTGCCGCTGAGCCCCGGCTCGCCATGAGCTCCCCGCAGGTGCCGGTGTCACTGAGCAGCGAGGAGCTGGCACGGCAGCAGAAGGCGCTGGCACGAGCTGCCCTGGCCGGCCGCAGCTTCTCCTCACCACACGGGGAGCTGGATGCACGCCGGCTCTGCCGTGCCCTGGAAAAGGTGTCCCAGAAGAGGAACCAGTCTGTGGAGGGGCAGCTGGACCAGCTGGGCCCCAGGACACCGCGGCTGCAGCGCAGCACTGGGGAGTCAAGTGAGTGCTGGCCCTGGGAATAACGGTCATCCCAGTGTCACATGGAGTCACTGCACTGACCCTGCCTCCCGGGCCACGCAGATAACCTCCTGTCACCGACCCACCTGGACTGGGACATGCTGGTGGAGCCCTCTTACCTCTTCAGTGCAGTGGTGCCCGAGGCCAAAGAGCCCGGTCAGGGTGATCCCTGCCTGCCCCTACGCTGCCACGTAGTGATCCACGGACTGCACGCAGGCCAGCCTGTGTCCTGGGAGGTGACGGCCTCACTGGAGGCCCTGCTGCAGCCACGAGATGGGGTGGGCAGTGAGGAGCCCCTGCGGCAGGTGGCCACAGCAGGGGAGAAACCATTGCATGGCTTGGCAGCACGGTCCGTCATCCAGGACAGCGAAAAGGCGGCACAGCGTGAAGCTGAGCTGGAGCAGGGTGAGTGCTGGTCCCTGTCCTGGTCACCATCACCATCACCGCTTGCTGACACCTTGCTCTGTGCAGGTTTCGCCCGCCGCTTCCGCCTGAAAGCCATGCAAACCAGCAAAGCCTGCAACGTGCCTTCCCTGTACACATGCGTGGTGCCTGTGGATGGGGCCACACGGGTGGTGCTGCCCGCAGCCCCGCAGGTGTGGAGCACAGGTAGGGCTGGGGGGACAGGGTGGGGATGGGAAATTGAGCATGGCATATGCCAAGCTGCCATTGGTGCCTTGCAGCCACACGCAGCACAGGCATGGCGGGGAGCCGGCATCGCCGGCAACGGGATATGGAGGAGCGGGAGGCTCTCATTGGTGCAGGTATGGACCCAAACCCTGACATCCCACCCCAAGCCCTCAGGGACCTTGATGACCCTGAGCATAGCAGGGTGTCCCCCGAATTGCAGGTGCCCAGCCCAAGTTGGTGGTAATGAGGCTGCAGGAGGAATTGATCTCTGCTCCACGTTGGGCACGGGGTCAGCAGCAATGTGTCACGAGGACTGGGCTGTGCAGGTCCCCAGGCCTCAGTGACCTCAGTGCTTTGCTGTTTTGCAGAGAGGGATGAGGTCCCTGGGTCTCCGGTTAGTGCCTCCTCTGCCACCTCTGGCTGGGAAAAGCAGAACGGCTCTCACGGTACGGACACGGCCCTGGGGATGAACCCATCCCTGTGCACTGTGGCCTCTCTGCACTGCCTGCTTCTCCCATTGCAGGGCTTCCAACCAGCCCCTCGGGCTCCTCCATGGCCTCCCGGAAATCCACAGAGAGCATTGCTGGCTCCAGGTGGGGCTGCCCTGCATGGGTTCTGAGGTGGGGGGATGAAGCACCTCAATGGGAGGAGTCGGGCAGTGTCACCTCTTGAGTGCTGCAGGTGTGGGTGGGATGGGAGGGTGAGTGGTCCAGCCCCATCTTTGCAGCAGTGTGCAGGGGTCCTGCTACCCCTTACTAAGGAACAGGTGGCACCTTGCCCTGTTCATTCACTGTTTGCAGGTTCAGCCTGACCAGGCGCAGGGGGCCCAGCCTAATGCTGCGACCACAGTGCCTCAGCCCTGAGAGCGAGTGCTCCAGCACGGCCGCCAGCCACAACTACCTTCCTCTGGTAAGGACCCTTCCAGGCTGTGCTCAGTATCACCAGCTGCAGCTGCAGAGGATGCTTTTCCAGTGGCTCTCAGGAGCACTGCTGCATCCACAGCATTGGGCAGCCCCTGCAGCCCAGGTCCCCTCCTGCAATGCCAAGTATTGGGACTGCAGACAATCTGGGCCCCTGCTCGCTCCGCTCAAGTCTCCTAACCCCCTTGCAGGTGCAGTTACAGCAAGCACGGGGGCTGTTCCAGCTCACCGAGACCTTTTCTGAAGTGGTGCAGATCCCCCTAGACCGCCTGCGCCGTGCCTCACCCTATGCCTCCCACCGTGCCAGCCTCAGCCCCACATCCCCCGTGGCCAAGAGCAGCCCCGGGGCAGGGCTGTGCACCGAGGGCGAGGAGCAAATTGCAGCCCCGGAGCCTGGCTCACCCCAGTCCCACAGCACTTGCTCTGAGGTGCCCAGTGCAGCCGTGTGGGCGCAGGCAGACAGCGGACATGGCTCCGAGTCTGACACCGCCCCCCATTCGGCCGCCCCATCAGAAGCGGGCTGGCAGGACGTGGGGCTGGAGGACCTGGAGAGTGCCAGCTGGGCCACGGCCGTGGCCCTGGCGTGGCTGGAGCATCGCTGTGCCGGCTTCTTCGATGAATGGGAGCTGGTGGCAGCCAAGGCAGATGCGTGGCTGCAGGCACAGCAGCTGCCCGAGGGCCTGGATGTGAGCTGCCTCAAAGGGGCGGCCCGGCACTTGTTCCTGCTGCTGCGGCACTGGGACGAGAACATCACACTGAACATGCTGTGCTACAACCCCAACAACGTGTGATGGCCGCAGGGGCCATCAATAAAGCTGCCTGGCTCGGTGCTGCCTGTGTGCTTCCATTCAGCCCAGAGACCTGGAGAGCATCAACCCTTCCCCCGGGGGGAGGGAGCAGACAGGAGGTCAGGAAACAGCCAGGCTGCAGGAGGGGCATCAAAGCCACTCAAGCCTTGCATCAAAGAGTCTTGCAGGTGCTCTAACTTAACCTTGTTCCACATGCTGCCCTCAGGCACCACTCTCCAAAAGGAGCGCACTCTGGGCATTGTCATAGCACAAGGACACTGCAGCCAGGGAAGGGCCCCCAAAGCCCCTTTATTGGAGAAGTCCTGCCCAGCACGGGCTTCCACACTGCCCCCTTTGTAGTTCCAGGGCTCGTGGCCTTCCTCAGGTGGCCAGGAGCAACCTGGAAGGAAGGCAGGCAGAAGAACAAGCAGAGGAGCAGACCTGGAGTCCCTTCCCATTGTCCAGCCAGCGCTCTCACTTTGCCTTCCTGGAGAGGGGATCGGACTTCTTGCAGGGCTGGGGGGGCTGTAGGGCTGGTGGCAGGGCTGTGCCGTACCACAGCTGGAGCAGGATAAGTCCATGACAGATGTGCAGGGAGAGGGAGCTGCAGACAGTGGAGGGGTAGGTGTTCCAGCAGAGCTCGATCACGCCCAGCAGCAGCACCCTGTGGGGGGAGCCAGGAGTTAGTAGGGGGGCACAACGGCCTCCTCAAAAGCTCAGCTGCCACCTAACACCAAGCCCTACCAGCACATACTTGGGCATGTGAGTGAGCTTGGAGGTCGGGGTGCACCACAGCAGGTAGGGCAGTGTGTGGAAGTACCAGACGTAGAACTGGTAGTGCAGGGAGCGGCTGCAGCAAATGCCCAAAAAGTTGGAGGAGAAGAGAATGAAGATGATCTGTGAGCAGGCATTGAGGTAACAAACCCAAGAAACTGGAAGTGCAACCCCGCAGTGGCTCGCCAGGAGCAGCCTTCCAGTGCTTGCCCTGCCCTTCCCATTCTCCTTGCCCCCCACCCTGCCAAAGGATATTGTTGACGCTCAAGGGAGGGGACGGGTGCTTCCTCTCGGCTGGATCCTTCAGCAGAGATAGGATGCTTTCTTTGGACCTGCTCGGAAAGCACAAACATCAGTTTCAGCTTCTCAAAGCCTTTCCCATCCCAATTTCCCCCCGTGAGCCACAACCCTGGGGGCTGACAGAATATGGCTGACGGGGGACCAGTCCCCACAGGGACACCCAGTTCTCACCTGTGCCATCGGTGCAGTGCAAAGAGCACCAAGCCAGCCAGGTGGGCCAGGAGCAGCCCGGCATGGAAAGCTCGGTGCTGGAACACCTCCTCTGGGAGGAAGCGCCAGTTCACTGTCCACTTGAACTGGAACTGACGGCCCAGGTCGAAGGAGCGTGTCAGGTACCCCACGGGATTCTCCAGCAGGAAGGGCAGCCCTAGGGCCACCTGCAAGATACAGCAGCCAATAATTGGGGCTCCATCACTCCCACTGCATGCTGAGACATATATTGTGGACAGCCAATGTTGGGAGCCCTGGGGGTCTGTTGTTAGCTACATGGGGCCAACACAGGGGCTGGAGCTGCAGCACACCCACCCAGGGGTCTACAGGACGCTCTGGTGACAGCAGGCAATGGCGAGTGGCGGGGACCAACCTGGAGCACAGCACAGATGCAGAGCTTGGGGATGCAGCCCAAGAGGCCAAAACGCTGTAGGAGGAGAAAGAGCAGCCCGGGTGCGAAGAGGAGGATATTCATCTTCACTGACACAGCCAGGCTAGGTGGGAAGCGGGGTTACAGCACGGCCTACACGGGGAGAGCCTCCCGCTGAGGCCAGCCCCGGTGGCCCCACACCTGAACAGCAGGCAGCCCCAGGACCAGCGGTCCTCCAGAAAGAAGTTGATAGCGAGGAAGAGGATGGCCATGGCCACGGGATCGTTGAAGAGCCGCAAGACGAAGATGGAGTGGATGCGGTAGGAGGCGCAGCACATAAAGAAGAAGACGTACGGGGGGACCTGGCGGGACAGAGGCTCAGTGCGGGGCCTGGCACACACGGGGCGGCACACGGCGCCTCTCGGCGTGGTACCCCTACCTTGCAGGTGCGGCAGTAGATGCGGAAGACGAGCAGCAGGTTGAGCAGGTAGAGCCCGGCGAAGATGTGCTGCGCCAGGCGGATGTCGGCCCCGCGGCCCGTGGCGTAGTACAGCCCCAGGAAGAGGTACACAAAGCCGGCGGGGTAACTGCGGGCACACACCGGGCGGGCCGCGTTGCCCCCCATCCCGCCCCACACCGCCCACCTCACAGGCCCCATACTCACACCAGCGGCCCGGTGTCGCCCCGCAGTTGCGTGTAGTCGCGGGTGCCGTTGGCGAAGCCCTCCACCTCCTGCATGTATGCCTGCCAGTCGATCTCGGTGTCTGTGGGGCGGGTGGGCGGCTGAGGAGGGCGGCTCGGGGCTCCCCTCACGCCGCCCCGCACCGCCCGCTACTCACAGGGCACCCTGCGGATCACCCACAGGTTGACGCCGCCCTCCGCCAGGCACAGGCAGGCGGCCACCAGCGGCGTGTAGCGGGGCTCCAGCAGCACCTCCCGACAGACCCGGCGCAACCTCACCGCCATGCCGCCTCCCCAGACGGAACTCTTTACTGATGAGGACGCGTTTCCAGCCGGAAGCCCTGGGCGGCAGGACCGGAAGTCCTTAACGACGAGACCGGAAATCTGTAGGCAGCGCGGCGCTCCCAGCCGGAAGCCCTTAGCAGATGCACGCCGGAAGCTGCACGTGTTCGCCGCCGTCGCCATGGAGCGGCGCCCCCCGCCCGCCGCCGCCAATCGGTGCTACGCGCAGCGCCGTTTCTGGGAGGAGCGGTACCGCCAGGCGGGCGCTGAGCCCCAGGAGTGGTTGGGCGGCTTCGAGCGGTTCCGCGCGTTGCTGGAGCCCGAGCTGCGTCCCGAAGACCGCATCCTCGTGCTCGGTACGAGCGCGGTGTAGGGTGGGCGGTGGCCCCGGGGCTCGGAGGGTGCGGTTGTAGCGGTGCGGGTCGGGGCGGGGGGGGCGGCGGGGCTGTGTCAGTGCGCACTAATCCCACCTGAGCCGCGCGGCTTAGCGGACTGAGCTGAGCCGGGCAGGTGTCGTCAGGCGGTGTCATCGCTGATCCCTTTAGCGGCTCAGCGGCTGTGGACAGCGACCCCCGGGGCTGAGCTGTGCCCCGCCGTGCCCGGCTCGGCACCGCGCTGCCATCCGCTGGGGTCCGGGGAGATTCGGCGGGAGCCCGCTAGGGGGTCCCGTTGGAGTCACCCCCCGGATGAGCGCCCCCGGGACACTGCTCGGCTCATGGATGGCACGGACTGGGTTGGGGGATGCGAGGTTATTGGGGTCTCATTGGGGTGAGGGCACAAGATCTTGGGGGTCCCATTGCTGTGGGGAGCACAAGGTCTTGGTAGTCTCATTAGGATCAGCCCCTGGCTGGGTATCCCCATGACATTTCTACTGGGGTCCCTGGGGATGTGGGCAGGGTTGAAGGGCACAGGGGTTCCTTTGGGGTCCCAAGGGGCACAAGGCTGGGCCCCACTTAGGGGTCCCATTGAGATTATCCCCAGCTGAATGTTCCTGAGACAGCATTTGGGCCCCGGGGTGCATTGGCAGGGTTGGGGGATACGGGCAAGATCGGGTGGCACGCAGTGTTTTGGGTGTCACTGGGGACATCCCCCAGCTGAGCATCCCCAGGACATCCCTGCTCGAGTCACAGAGGATGTGGACAGGGTTGAGGGGGCATGGTGGCAGGATTATGGGATATGGCATCTTGGGGTTCTCACTGGGGTGCCACTAGGGTTCCAGGGCACAAGGCAGGGCCTTGCTTGGGGGTCCTATTGGACTGAGGGACACAAGGGGGGATTCCACCTGGAGGTCACACTGTCAGTCCCTAGCCACGCATCCCTGGGACAGCACTTGGGTCCTGGGGAGCATGGGTTGGGGAGCACAAGGATTTGGGATTCCCATTATGCTCCCGTTGGAATTGGGAGCTCAGGGTCTTGGGATTGTCCTATTGGAGTCCCATTGGAACTGGTGATGCAAGGCAGGGCCCTGCCTGGAAGTTCTATTGGGACCAACCCCCCACTGAGCATCCCCATCCCTGCACAGGCTGTGGGACCAGTGCCCTGAGCTATGAGCTGCACGAGCTGGGATACCGCGACGTCACCAGCATCGACTTCTCACCCGCCTGCGTGGAGGCCATGCGCTCCCGCTATGCCCACTGCCCCCAGCTGCGCTGGGCCGTCATGGACATGCGCTCCCTGACCTTCCCTGATGCTTCCTTCGACGTGGTGCTGGAGAAGGGCACGCTGGACGTGCTGTTGGTGGAGGAGGCTGACCCCTGGCATGTGTCCTCCCGCGGTGCCGCTGCGATGCACCGGGTGCTGGCAGAGGTATGGCAGGGATGGGGTGGTGCCCCCTCACCATTCCTCCCCCAGGTCCCTGAGTGATAAGTGATGGGGCTGGAGGGGCAGGGGAAGATACTGCCCCAAGCCCTTTTGGTGCCTCCCGCAGACTCTCATAGCCCAAATCCCCAGGAGCGTCACATATATTGAGCCCCATCCCCACGGCTATGGGTACACAGGGGGCAGTGTGGCCTTGCCAGCCTCAGGCAAGGTGACAGCAGTGGAACAGTGACAGCCCGTTAACCCCCCCATACCAGCTCAGCTTCGATCTCCTTAGCGGGGTCCCTGTCCTGCAGTCCCCACCTCACTGTTGCCATGGAAACCTCCGTCAGCATCAACAGGGCTGTGGCGTTGCTACGGGGACGGGTGATGCCTCGGGGCCCCCATTAATTGGCAGCAGAATGCAACAGGGGGGGCAGTGGGGTGCCGGCAGCCCCCGACCCTCCTCCCCAGGGGCTGACATCAGAACCACGGCCCCCCCGTGGCTGGGGCTGCCTCCCATCCTCTCATGCCCCATAGCATCCCAGCTGTGTGGGGCACCCTGCACGCTGCCAGCAACGAGCCCAACCCTGGCATCCCATTCCTGCCTGTCCTTGTCACTGGGCCAAGCAGTAAGGATTTAGGGCTTTTTTTTCTCTTTTTTTCCCATTTTTAATCCTGCGTTCAATCCCTGCCCTCCCCCAGCACCGCCGGGCACAGCACCATCCTTTGGTCCCCGCTGTCCTCACAGAGGGCTCAGCCCTCTCCCTGGTGGGGCACCCCACTGCTTTTCCCACCCCTTTGCTGCATTGGGCCCCCCTTACCGATCCCATTGATGCCTCTGACCTGGAAACCTCCACTATGCCACCGCTGTCCCAGGGGGGGCCGAGCAGCCCCCGCCCCATAATCCTCTTAGGGAGCCCCCTAACGGGATCACCGCTGCGTGGTGACGGGGGGGGGGATGACTTAGGGACGCCCCTGGGGACATTCCCGTCCCTGTGCCCAGTACTGGGTGGGGGCCTGTCCCAGTATGGGGTGGTCCTTGGCCAATAATGTCATGGGGATTTTTGGGATGGAGCCCCGGTGCTGTGCCGGGATCCCATTGCCGCAGCCACCCCGGCACTTCTTGGCATGCAGAGCACGCGGGCGCCGGCCGCGAGAGCCTTTTGACATTGTATAAAGCCAAGCAAGAAAATTGATGTTCTTTTCCATCCTATTAGCGGGGGCTTAGCTCCAGCCAGGAGAAAATGGTGATTAAAGGGCCGAGTCCTTCCCCATTCCAACCGCACCTGGGGGGGGGGGGGGG